ATGTTTCCCTTATTTAAATTATTTTTGTAATTGAAAGTACGTAACTACAATCAGTGCTTTTGAAAATAAAGTCCGCGTGTATAAGGATTTTCATGAATATAGTAGTTATATGCATATCGAAAGTAGAGTGTCAAGAACATTACAAACATTTCCTGGAAGAAAAACTAAAATCTTTGTAAATTTTATTATTAGTTTTTTTAACCTTATTTTAAACATCATGCTTATACCGTTGGATTATCTACGTTTTCCGATCATTCACGCATACTTGTTCTGTAATTAACACAAGCAATAGGAAGATCAGAATAGTTCTATACTGTTGGACATCCGATTTTAAAACTGAAACCGTGTTTTGAATTTTTCCATGACTTAAACAGTATATGTTCTGGCATCTGCAAACCACTGCAAAAAACAGTTTTGGAGACTCAGTAAAAAATGCGATACGCTGTCTGTGGAAAAGAATAATAGCTTGTCTCTGCGGATAAATTAAACAATTCACAGAGTATATAAATGATGAAAATTTAATGGCAGTATTAACATTGTCTCTTTTGGTATTTATTTACTAGAAGCGCAGATTAGAATTCCCAGACCCAGTCATGAAACTGTTGGTAAGTAAACTATTTAGCTAATTAGTGAAATATAGATAATCATACAGTAGTTATGCTTTACTTAATACAGGAGGAGATAAGAGTTTGCTATGAAAGTTTCTTTGCTTTGAAAAATTTTAATTTTTTGGATATTTGTAAATAGACAATCAGTTTGCAGTTAGAGGATACTTTAAACGCTGCCGAGTCGAAAGTTTGCTCCAGAGATTTGTGGTAGAGGAATTTTTTTTATTCATATTACCTAGAAACTTTAGAATTTCCAATGAAATTAAAGATAATAGAAAAATACAAACATTCTTCCAGAAAAAGTTTAAACTTCTCCAGTTGCATGAAAAAAAATACGAAATCTTAAAGTTTCTTCCACGTCATATATTTATTAGCGAAAATTTCGATATTAAAGTTATTTTGTTATTGAAACTGTCAAAATATAAAGTAATGAACAACAAAGTTTAATTTTTAACAATTAAATTTAAATGATTAATATTATTTTAGTTAGTTGTTTAAACTAATTTTTAATGTCACTCATGCCGAAATGGTTCCATAAATGATGAATTACTTCCCTCTTCCTTTGGGCTTAAAAAATTTTATTACCAGTATGTATATTAATTTAAAATTAAATGTAATGAGATGGATTCTGCAACAGAAGAAGAGGAAGAGTGACCTTGTTTGCTTACATTAGCTGTACATAAGGCACGTGATCTCTGAGTTCATTTACACTGTTTGTTAGCGTTAGCTTCATATAAGTCACGTGATGTTAGAGATCATTGGAACTGATCTCATTATCCATTGTTGTCAACTCATGAATTATATCTTTATCACTGAATGAAATTTAAACTTAAATGAAAAGAAATTTAATACTGAAAAGGTTGATGATAAAAGGCAATGATGTTTTTTATTTTCGTTTTTGAATTAAAATGTTTACATAACAAATTATTAAAATAGTACAGAATTATTCATGCGCTTGATCAACGTTAGAGAAATAAATATACAAAAAGGCTTGCAGTCTACATTTTACTACAAAATTACAACCGTAAGTTTTAAATTTAGATGCAAATAAATGTGCTCAAGTAGAATTAGGAATTTTGCAATCAAATTATTACAGTTGTTATAAGTCTATTTTAATTATGACATTCATGGTATGAAATAAAATCTTTGCAAAGTATTGTTAAAGAATCCAGGTACTTAAAATTAATACAGGAGGAGATAAGAGTTTGTTATGAAAGTTTCTTTGTTTTGGAAAACTTGTAATTTTTTGGATATTTGTAAATAGACAATCTTTTTAAATTAACGTTATATTGAGATACACACTTTTACAACATCAAAGCTAAATGAAAGATGCTAGGCAGCCTTGCCTAGCAGAAATGTTTATTTATAAAAAAAAGGCCGTTATCATAAACTGGAAATAATAATATCGAGTTACGACATTATCTTCGAAGTGTTAAAAATAATCCAAAAATAGCAATTTGTTCATTTCTCTCCTACGAGTGAATAGTTTATCTAATGCTAACGTTTTTCTCAGATACATGAATTTATTGCAAAGTAGTGAAATTTAAAATAAAATTTTCTATGTGCAATATATGATCCTTTTTATGTATTTAAATTATTAAATTATCACAGTTTCTTTGTGGATTGCCAGGAAGTATTTTCTTTCCTATAGTGTCCATTTCTTGCATCGATTGGCTCACAGCTTTTCACCTACCCAGGTCTTATGTGAGCTACGTGTAGCGTTAGCCTTTATAGTGTCTCGACTGCTATTTCAATAGCTTTTCTATATTCTTCCTTCTTATATTTAAACTCTGGTATTGCTCTAGGAGTTAGTGAATCTGCGCTTCAATCTTTTTTCTCTTGTCTAATTCTCTCTGCAGGATTTGGTTTCTTCTCTTTCGCTTTTGTAGAGGTTTCTATCTTCATTTGTTAAAAAAAATCGTCAATTTTTAAATTTTCTGAGATGTTTGATACAACAGAATTGCCTTCAGAATCTTTGGACATTTCTTCATTATCATTTGGCTCTCTGAATACGACCATAGTTCAGAACAGTTAAGAATTTATTCCATAAATTCAAAACATATCCCAAAGCAGTTAAAAGGAAGTAATACAATTGAAAATTCATTTAAAACCAATTTGTTTTATTTACATGGAAGGAGCTAAATCATAAATTCATGCAGAATAGTGAAATTTGTTTCCCTTGTGAGTATGTAAAATATATCTTATATCAGTGGTCACCAAACTCAAACTTCATGCTGGCTAAATGCGTGATTTGAAAGCAGCTGATGGGCTAGAATATTTTGAACGAGAACACTTTTTTTTTTTAAAAAATAAAAATTAAGAAAATTAAATATTACATTTCTAGCTATAACTTAATAATACTAATGAAGCAAAGGGAAAAAAATCACTTAATGCTTAGTTTCGGTCTCAGAGGTTGATATTTGCAAGAAATGTTTGCAACTGGAACTTTTTAATTGAAAAGTGTTGACTTTTAAATAAATTTTTGGACTACCATTTACTTCAAACAATTCTAGTATGTTGAATTAACCACTGAATAGCTTATTTAAATTAAAAACTAAGGATTTATGAAAATGCTTCAATGGGACAAAATTTGAGAATGAATAATTACAACCCTACTTTTATTCTTTTAATTACTAAATTTTTCTTTAACGCTACAGAAAAAGTACATGCATTTGTATGTAAATAATCATAACTTTCATTCCTTACTAGAATTTTCAGCTACAACACCTCATAACGTTGCGCTTTTGAAAATTTTTTTAATCTGGGTGAAAAATTACCAGAGCTATCTTCATCGCGGATGGTAAACACTCATTTTAAATCTGGTTCCTTTCGTTGCTGGTATAGCTTGCGGTCTACCTAATTTTCTTCATGTTAATATATTACTAGATAGTTATTATATTATGAATTTATAATAACTATGTTGATATTTTTATTAGATATCTCAGAGTATTTAGGAAAGGAATAAAATACAAAGCAGTACATACTTTTCTCATTTTTCAAAGCAATTTAGATAATTAACGAAGCCTAGATCTTTACGAATCTCGTATCAGATGGCTGGGTATCTGTTTAGATATGATGATGCATATCCAACCGAAAAGATAACCTTTTAGAGAATTGAGGGAGTAAAACGAAAAGGAAAACCACCCACTAGATGGATAGATGATGTCGAGCAAGATTTAAGGTTAATTCAAAGAATCTCTTCAAAGAATCATTCAAAGAACTTAGAGATTCTTTGGTTAATTGGAGTTAACTGATGGAAGGCTATTGCGCCGAAAGGGGCCAGGTTGAGGAAACGTGGAGAGACAGCCGTGGCCTGTAATAGGCTGTGGAGCTTATGGAGAAGAAAAAGAAGATCTCTACGATGTTATTAACAGAGGTTTACAAGTAGTTATGTTAAGTGAAATAACTGCTGTTAATTTTCTACGAGAACATAGTCTTTTACTCTGCTATCACGCATCCATTTGTTTCGGATGAGCAGCTGTTTCAAACAATTTTTCTGCCTGCTTAACCATTTTAAAAAAGACGCACGATTATTCCTCCTTTTCGCAAGAAAATAAGTTGTTCGTTTTCAACACCCAATCAGCTATCAACATCGAATTCCTCATCATCAACCATCATTTGTAATGAAGACCTAGTAAAGTGATCCGTGGTGATTGGCTGCTTTATATCATGTGACAAAGCAGGAAAACTGTAGGAAACGATTGTTCTTCCGAAATGTTTTGAATGTGTGATACACCCTTTAGAAGAACCCAGACTTGCAGAATCCGGTCATCAGTGTAGCAGTGACATGCTTGAAACGTTTAGACTGGGAAGAGGTAGAGAACGCAGACCAATCATTCGTTGCTGACGGAAAGTTTGCTATGTCCCGCACAATACGTTCGACTAAAACCAGATCGGCGGGGGGATCGCACGCTCTACCCGCACTTTATTTTCTTAGACTTTTGAATTATCAGCTGCCTAAAACACCTGTTCATAAACAAATATACAAATGTACTCCCAAAGAAAGCGATTACTCTTACTGCAGATTATGAATTAATTGAGGATGTATATCATTTGACGAGTACGAATAAAAGCTAAGCAAATCTGTATCTTCAAATCATTGAATAAGATTTATTATCACAGAGTAAATGTGATAAATATCACAGTGTAAATGTGTAAAAATTATCACAGTGTAAATGAATTAACTTCATTAGTAGATTTTCTGGGATTTTGCTTAATTTTTTTTTTTCTTTTTTTTTTCTGGGGTTTATTTTTTACGGCAGAAAAATTTGCTCCAAATCATTAATTTACGGGAAATGTTTCAGCGCGCGATGAAAAATTGCTATGAGAAACCGCGGGTTGCCAGTTTGAGAACGCTGCTTGGTAGAAATTCGGAAATATAAATTATGTTTTAAGCTGAATTAATACGAACATCCCCTGTTCCACATTCCTAGTCTTGTTTTTTATCCTATATTTGAAATTATTAGACATGTTTTTAAAAAATTTAAAAGTAACACTTTACAATACTGTTTTCAATACATTGTTCATTTTCTTAACATTTGTTTATCATTTTAAAAGATGTAAATGCCAATTAATTCTCCATCAGCACTTTGTAATTTCATACCACTATATATAGGGAATTTTGGCACAAAGCAAGCTAAAACAATTAGGTTTCTTGATTTATTTTATGTTTCAAAATTTCTTATTAATCATTAATATGCGCAATAATTATCTCTTATTACGCAATAATTACCGCATTTAGATAATTATGTTCTGTTTACTTCAGTTTTGGTTACCCAAATTTAACTAATTGTTCTTACTTTTATTTAATTTAAGTTGTGAATTAAATTTAGAGAGCCATTTGAGGATTATGGAGGCCTTTCAGGAGGTATGCCTGTGAAATATCAGGTCACATATTTTTAATACGTGGAGAACGCAACGAATTTAACCTTATTACTTCATCAAGACTTTAGCCACTTGGTTAAAGGTTTAACCAAGTGGCTAAAGTCTTAACCAAG